AAAAGTCAAAAATCAAAGAAGTTGTTTTTTTTATAAAGTGTTTGATTTAGATTATAAATGCAAAATGGTCAAAAGGGACATGTTTAGGGAAATATATTGCAAAACTCAATAAGTTGTTTTTTAAAAAGTGTTTTTTTAAGAATTTATAAATTTATAAATTTTTGGTAACATTGAAAAAAACATTTATACAAAATCTAAACATACATTGTAAATAATTCTTAAAAAAACTATACATACTGTCATATTACATTCATCCTCGCAATCTCATTACATCTTGCACAATAGTATCTCATATCACCGCTATATACACATTATTAGTATTTTCACGACGTGCACTTGTATCCTCTTATTGCGCTTCATTATTATTACTATATTTTGTAGGATCTTCTGATTTTTGTTGTGCCATGTCAAATGTTTCACCAAATCTATTAACCTTTCTTATATATTTAAGGATCGTCATTGATGTTATCACAATACTAACTTAGTGCTCGTATGTAGAATATTGTCTTTTATTTGTTTTTTAAACCTAATATGTAACGCCCCGTTCTTGAAATATCTATTTATGGGTTCCCGAGATCAAGAGTAAGGGCGTTTCGGTCCTTAATGTGGATATAAAGTTGACGGGAACGGACTTATGATGGAGGAGATGTTGTAAATTAAAGATATTGGTAGCAATGGTCCCCAAGGGGGAAGTTTACCAAAGGGGTCCCATGCATGCCAAGCATGCATGCATGTGTTTGGCTGGGTACGCCCAGCATAATGAAGGAAAGGAGCGCAGAGGTTTCTTGACGTACGCCCAGCATATGTCAATCATTCAGAAACCCTAAATTTAGGGTCGACCACTATATAAGGAACATAATGGTTCTCACCCTAGCCTCCATAAGCACTCTCTCATCCTCAGAAGCCCTAGATAGCCGTTCCACCTCCATTGTTGGGTGTGTTTGACCTTGGAAAGCTTGTTTTGGCAAAGGAGAGTCTAGAAGAAGAAAGAGGAAGTTGTCAAAGAAGGAGTTGAGTGGCTGGAGCTTGTAGATTTGGAAAGACCTCATCTTCTGAGGCCCTTTTGAGGTAAAAAGTCTCTGGCTTGACAATTATATTGTGTAGATCTATGTGTTGTGAAGTTTTGACATTATTCTTGACCCAAAAACCTCATCTTGATGCATGATTCGAGTTGGTTGAGATTAGTTGTCCTTTTAGACCTCAGGGGAGGTCTGGAGTAAGAAAAATGAGATCCCATGGGCTTTGGTTGTCTCATATGTGATATAGATAGGTCTTAATGGATTAAGACCTTGGATTAAGAGCTTTATGGACATCCCAACTAATAAAGTTTGATACTTTATGAATCCTAGGCATATTTGGTCTATGGATCTGAAGTTTGGGCTTAAGAGCTTAAGCCATTAAGATCTTATGAGAAGTTGTAGTTCAGCGGAGTTACGCCCCACGTAAATGGAAGTACGCCCAGCATAGTGGGTCTTTGTCCCGATTCCAATTCGCGAAACATCGTTATACGCTCAGCGTACCAAGGAGGGTACGCCCAACGTACTTCCTCTGTTGAGTTTTCATTTTGGGACTTAAGGGATTGGGCTGTTATTAGGACTATTAGAGCTTGGGCCGTGACTGGACATTATGAATGGATAATTTGGACTCACTAACTATTATGGACCTTGGATCTAGGCCCATTTGGCGAGGTGGGCCCAATTTAGTAAATTGGGCAAATATTGGGTTTTGTTTCGGACTTTTGCTCTTTGGGCCACTAGTGGGCTTGAGAGCTTACTTAATGTTGGGCCATTCATATTCTGGTGTTGGGCCTTGGTCATGGAACAGTTTGGGTTATGGGTAAAATGGTCAATTTACCCTTGGAAGGATATTGTGCTTGGACTAATGATTGTTTTGCTGCTTCGATTAGTTCGGGATTTTTGGTGAGTCGGTGATTCGGGAATCTGCTTCTTCAGTTCAGAGTTTCGGCAGTTGCGAGGTGAGTTATCCTCACTATATTGACAGGGTCTAAGGCACCAAGGCCGACCCTTTATCGGATTGTAATCCGGGTATCGTTGTTATGTTATTGCTTTGTTATGTTTGCATCCCGGTAGTTAGGGTCGTATATGTTAGAGACCCGGTTAGGTCGGTATCCTGGTTAGGATGATGTTATGTTATGTGATCTGCTCGATCGGTTTGTTTGGATGTGAATTGTTATATGATTGTATGTTTATGTGCACATGGTTGTTGGACTGGGGTTGGGTTGAGGTGGGTCCTACTTTGTGCTGTAGGCCAACATACCCAGGGCGGACCGGTTATCCCGAAGGCCCAATGAGCGGTCCGAATAGGCTGTAGGCCCCACGAGGGCGGACCAGACGTGCCGAGGCTCGGAGAGTGGATCAGGCCGACTGAAGGTCCGGTGCGAGCGGACCAGTCATACTGTAGACTCAGAGAGTGGATCGGGTGGATTGAAGGCCTGGTGCGGGCGGACCAACCACACTGCAGACTCGATGGATATGGCTAGACTCGGAGGGTAGACCAGGTGGACTGAAGGCCTGGTGCGGCGGACCAGTCACACAGTAGACCCGAAGTGCATGGCTGTTCTATGTTCTGTTATGATATGGCATGTTATGTGTATGGTATATGTGGTTGGTATTTTGGGGGTATCTCACTAAGCTTTCGGGCTTACAGTTGTGGTTTAAATGTTTCAGGTACTTCAGGAGACCGTGGCAAGGCAAAGGCGTGATCGTACCCCTCCTCATGTTTATGTTTTATGATATGGTTCTGGGAAGAATCTGATAATAATTGTATTGAAAACCTTTTTGTAATAACTTAATAAAACTGGGTTGTTTTTTAAAAGTTTAAATTGGTTGGAATTTTTAGAGCGTTACATAATAAGTCATAAGTTGTTTTAAAAAGTTAAAAAATATGACTTCTTAAAATCTTATTTTCAAAGATTAATAAAAAGGTTGTTTTAAAAGTCTATCTTATATATTCAAACACTAAGTTATAACTCGTGTAATATATAGTTGATAAATTAAAACAACATAGATAATAATTGTAGGGAAAATGACGTATAGGCCTTATAATGTTTCTAGGGTTGACCCATTTAGCCACTTAACTTATATTGTGGTTTAATAAGGGAACGAAGTATTTGTTACCTAACAATATAGTCCCTTTTACCTATTGTCGCCAGTTAACGTTGCCACATAAACCTAGCCTAACACGTAAGTGATGACATGGAAAGAATTTAAAGCGTCGAACAACCGCAATGACATCGTATTGAAGGCGAATCGTAAGGAGCAAGGACCGACTGTTCAAGCGCCTCCATATAAAATCAAGACTTCGTTGACCTAAAACGACACATCTGCAAACTTCATTACCCCAATCTCGTCTATAAGTTTACTCCAAAATGGCTTCGATCGGACATGCAGAACACAGCTGGTCTCCAAATTACTGTCGTCACATGGATGAGAATCATTCGAATGGTGTAACCAATGAAGACATGGCATCAATCTACTTCAAACCCAGCTGGAACTGTCTCATATACGGGAGGACTTCCAAGACCAGTTGCATGAGCTCCGTCGCATAGTTGATCGAGACTTGGATGCCATGAACCATGAGGTCGATGACGTTCGTGCTGGTCAGTTGGATATCTCAAATGTCGTTGCTGATCTTAAAAATCATTTCATTTCTCTGCAAGGAGCATATATGAAGATGGTCTTCAAGCACAACAAACATAAGAAGCTTATGTATTGTGTTGGGATTGTTGGTGTTGTTACTGCGTTTGTATTGACGTATTTGGTGTTCCAGTAAAAAAAAAGTTGTGAGGGTTGAAGCATTTCAGTCCTGGGTTTGTTTTTTGGTGTGTTATTTATGTTGTTTAGTGTCAATATTAGTAGTAGATTTTGTGTGGGTTGCTGGTATTAGTTTGTGATGTTGGTGTGTAGATTTGGTGGTGGTGTTGCCTGGGCTGCTGATGGTCATCGTTTTTTGATGAAGTTTTTTATCGATGATCTCTGTAATAGGTCATTGAATAGAAGAAAGTGATGTAAACAAACCCATGGTTATAATGTGTTTTAATATGGTATTATTAAAAAAAATTGTCTAACACCTGTATCTGTATGTGTGCATGAGAGAAAGAAACATTTGGGTATTATATATGTTTCATCGACTGGGACAGGACCACAAGCCAAAGCAAAATGAATATACCTTCTTTATGCACATAAATAGGGACCACAAATGGTGCAGTTTGGGAAAAGGGACAAAAAATACCTTTGCACATGATTGAATATGTTTGTTTGTCTGCAAACCTTGTTTGGAAAAAAAAAAGGAATTAAGTTTTCTAAAGATGCACTTTTTCATTTTGAATGGATTAAGTCAAAAGTACCCTGTTTTTTTACAAAGGATTAATTACCGCTGCATTGAAAATGGTCAATTTAATTTGTAATGACTTAATTACCCCCACATCCAAAATGGTCAATTTAATTTCTAATGACTAAAATGCCCCCACATCCAAAATGGTAAATTTAATTTGTAATGACTCAAATGCCCCCACATCCAAAAATGGTCAATATAATTTGTAATAACTAAAATGCCCCCACATCCAAAAATGGTAAATTTAATTTTTAATAACTAAAATTCCCCTACATCCAAAAATGGTAAATTTAATTTCTAATTACTCAAATGCCCCCACATCCAAAATGGTAAATTTAATTTCTAATGACTCAAATGCCCCCACATCAGAAATGTTAAATTTACTTCGTAATGGCTAAAATACCCATAATACCCCTAAATATGTGTGGCACGGGACAACAATAACATACCATATAACAACTTACCACACAACAAAACAACATAGTACACCATAAAAGAGCATTCAAAGATCATTTGTTTATTGCAACACACATTCACTACAAATAACAAACAATTATTTAATCCAACTCCATGGCCGTTGCAACACTGCTACCTTCACCTCCCACATTTTTTGCAAGCTTCATTTTAATGATTCTTTCTAACTTCTTTCACATTTTACGCAGTTTAACATGCTTAACTCGAGCATTGACATTCTCCCCTTCATCCCGTCCATTGACTCCCACCATCCGCTCTTCATCTCCAGGCCTATCCAAAGCATCAGTAGCATCTACCATTGCCTCATCATCCCCAAATCCTGTGGCAATGTTTACAGACTCCTTAGTAGGTATAGTTTTTTTGTTTCTTTACTCCGTTTTATTTGAATGTCCCTAGACCTTTACTACAAGTAGCCTTGTTGTGTCCTTTCTACTTGCATATGCTACAAAAAACTTTCTTCCCTGCCTTGGAGACGGTATGTTTTCCCATTCGTTCAGAAGCATCTCTTCTTCTCTTTATGGTTAGCCTGCTTGGCATACATCTTTTCAATGGAGGCAAAGGGGGTATCAAGTCAGTAGAAGGCCACATATTTTTTCCATTCATCCCATGGATTGGCTGTTTGTAAGTATTATGGTATAATGCACCCAAGTACATTGGATCTACATATGGACCATCAGATGTCATATTTATGTAGGCTAAGGTGTCAACTGATTGTACGCAACCATATCCATTAAGTTGCCATAGCCTACAGCTGCATTCCTTTTTTTTAACATTCAAAATAAATGCCTCGTCCATTTTTCTTGCCTCAAAATTCATCCCCCCACAAGAAATGACATGCCAATTCCTACATATATAGATGAAAACGCCAAAAATCATGAGATGTGAAGAGTAAAGTACTAATGTAATTGGATAAATGTACAAACCTTTGCTCAGTCTGGAGCATATTCAACTGTATTCTAATATTTGGACAAACATAATAATGATTCCATCCTTGTCCGGTTAGTTTCATAGTCACCATCCTTTGCATCACATATATACGAATGTCCTCTAACATGCTTATTATTGGTTTCTTCCGGGCATCCAAAATCACAATATTAAAACCCTCTGAAAAACCATTCTCTACTGACTCACAAGAATTATGAACTCTGAAAAAAGACAAAGACCAAGTCTTTGGATCTCTATCCATAAGATGCACAACTACTTCCGGATTTAATTTTCCAATCTCTCTCATAACTACATTAAACTGTGCTTCAGTTGTTGCTTTGCTTGCTTTCCAAAACAGATTTTCAAACTTGGATCCACTAAATCTTGTTCTAAAATTCGCATAGATATGTCTAGCACACTGCCTATGTTCAGCTGCTGGAAATACTTCCTTTACTGCCTCAATCAAACCCTACATAAGTCACATTAATGTTTGAAATTAGAATAACAATAACTAAATTTAGAACATGCAGTAGTTTTGAGCCATACCTTGTGTTGATCCGAAATTAGAACCAAACCATTACCATAATTCCAACATTGCAAATCTTCTGAAAGAGTTTCTAAGAACCAATTCTAATTCTCTTTGTTTTCCACAGAAACAACTGCCCAAGCAATCGCGAATATTCCATTGTTATCATCTCTACCCACGGAACAAAGCAACTCCCCTTGACAAAAACTTTTCAGAAAACAACCATATAGGTTAATGATCCTCCTACATCCTCCCCTCCGTCCATCTTTTACTGAAGCAAAACATATGTATATATTGCTGAAATAATTCTTACCATCATGAATTGAATCAACACAAATTTTAACTATGGATCCAAGATTTGATCTTCTAATCTCCTCACCATATGACCAAAATCTTGCATAATTCTCAGCTATTGTGCCTTCAACTAGAGTCAATGCATACTTATTGGCTCTCCTACACCGACTCATACTCACATTAATCCTAAAATCGGTTTTTACCTCCTCTCTAAGCATTCGGACGCTCATCGTTTGATTGTTATAAAATTGGTGCGTAAAGTGGGTCCCTATCCATTTATAAGTCACAATCTATCCAAATTTGAAATTCTTTGCACAATTATGCTCAACGATAAGAGATTTTATCTGGAAACACTTATCTTCACTCATCCAAGAACCCCAAAGCCTAAAAGTACATTTGCCATCAAAGCATTTGACAAGTAATCGTCTAGTATCATTTTTATCAAAACATAATTGATAACCATTTGCGACAACATAGTTACAAAGGATGTGTTTCAATTGCTTGGGACTCTCAAACCTCATACCTAAAAGAGGTTCCTGCTCCTTCCAATTGAGCTTATCGTTGAAAATGTTTGGAAATTCGGGATAAACATCTTCATTGTCACCCATGTCTTCTTCAAAAAACTCACCGGCACCTGCTTTCTCACCAATCTCTACCTGAATCTCATTACCCATTATATAAAAAAAATGAGTCTTATGATGGTCATCCTCAGCGTCATCGACATCCTCATCCTCGTCGTCATCATCTTCGCCATTATCTTCCTCATCGTTTGTGTCACCCACATCCCGATGCCCTGGTGCAACTTCCTTAACCAGTCCTGCACCATCAAGTACTTCTTCCTCAACGTTACCAACAAACTTGTCTTTGTGTTCATCCAACCATTCATGTATGTTACTATTACCAAAATGGTCTACATACATAGCGAGAATAACACCAAATTCATATGCAATGGCTATGAAGTCGTAATAATCGGGGTCATTGCAAATTAGAGTCAAACCTTTTGGAAAATCAATATCAGGTTAGTAGTAATAGAGCTTCTCACACTTTTCCCCAGTGAACCTTTCGATGAACGCAACACGTCCATCCTTCTCTATTCCTGCGAAATCGATGTCTGAAAACCTCTGAGTAATTCCACCGGTGTAGCGTATGGGGTTTCTGGCGAACATTCCTTGGAAGTGGACATCTACTTGTACGAATACGGGTTCCATGCTTGCGGATTCAGAAGAAACTCACAAAAAAGGGTTTACCGATGAAGTGTTGAACAGTGGATGTAAAAGGGTTCTTTTATGAAGCATATACCAAAATTAAGAATCAGGTGACTAATTAATGACATGGCATAAGACGAAAGTCACGGTCAACATCCTATATGGTGTTAGTAGAAGGAGGTGGACTTAAAATGACCGGCTAACCCCTTCAAAATTGAAATAATGACTTAATCGACCCGACAAAGAGTAATTCGTTCCCTTGTTAAGCCACAAAATAAGTTAAGTGGCTAAATGGGTCAACCGTAGAAACATTATAGGGCCTATACATCATTTCCCCATTAAAATAATATCTTTACTTCTACTTATAAAGTTATGTTTTTTAACTTTTAACATATTATACTTAATTTATTAGTTTTAATATATTGTTGGATGTAAACAATTATCATTTTAAATATAAAATTTTGGAACAATTTGTATAAAATACTTAAATTATTAATTTAAATATAACATTACATGGTCAACCTAAATATAAATTTTAGTTTAACTTAAAAAACCCAAAAACTATTTTGTAAATAGTTAAAAGTGACTCGTTGTTGTAACATCCTGAGATATCTCTGAATCCTCTCTTCTATTATTATTTTGTCATTTGTAGTCCCTGGGGTTAGAAGAGTCGACCCACGAGGAGCTTAAGGGATAAAGTTGCAACTTTGAGAACAAAGCTAGTACGCTAAGCGTACATAAACTAGTATCTTGGGCGTACACTTGTGTACGCGAAGCGTACTCGTGTCAGATGCAAACCCTAATATTTAGGGTTTGAGTGCTATATAAACATCCTTATGAGCTCATAACCCTCCCTTACCTCAGCCTCCGTAGATTTGTGCCATTTTCCCCAACCCAAACCCCTTTCTTAAGTGTGTGAGCTAATAGAGTGTGCTTTGAGTAGTTGGATAAGAAGGTGTTGCATCAAGAAGTTGGAGAAGGAGGCAAGCTTGTAGATCTGAAGTTTCTTTTTGCCTTAGAAGCTCCAAAAGGTAAAAAGCTCCAAACTTTATGCTTATATGATGTAGATATTGCCATGCTAGCTTTATGGAACCATTTCTTGTCCCAAAATAGCTAAGTTAGTGCATGTTATGATTTGAACGAGATAAGCTGTCCTTTCAGACCCTATAAGGGGTCTTAAGTAATAAAAATGATGTTCCAACTGCTGAAAGTGTCCCATGCATTTAGTAGAATGGTCTTAATGGATTAAGACTATGTATTAATAACTTTCTGGACGTCAAAAGTTTTAAAGTTCGAGACTTTATGAGTCTTAGGCACATTTAGTCGATGGATCTGAAGTTTGGGCTTAAGTGCTTAATCTATTAAGCACTTATTAGAGTTTTGGTAAAACTCACGTATGCCTCGCGTAATTTCTATACGCCGAGCGTACTGAGTCAACCACCCCGATGGTGGTCAACGCAAAATGGAAGTACGTCCAACGTACCGAAGGAGTACGCCCCACATACGCCCTCTGTTGGACTTTTGACGGATTAGGCTTCAGAGTTTGGGCCGCCTTTGGACTAATTGGACTTTCTGAATAATTGAGTTTTGGGCCCTTTTGATAATAGATCCTAGAAAAAGGCCCAATTAGGAAGTTGGGCCTAATTGGGAAATATAAAATTTTGGAACAATTTGTATAAAATACGTATATTATTAATTTAAATTTTCATATTTCCCAAGTCCTAGTAGACCTTGAATTTCAACACAATGATGAAATCCTTTCCTTTCTTAAATAGGGATAACATGCTTTTGACAACATTCTTTTCTAGTATTGTTCACCAGGAAAATATTTACACATTCAAACCACATCATAGATGAACCTTGCAAATAATCACTTTAATAAGCATAAAAAGTTCAAAAATACAATGAAATGAACAGTGAAAGTTTGTAGAATTGACATCGTTTATGTGATAGTGAGGGTAAAATTTGTGTAAATTGGTTAGTAAAGAGATATAAATTTGTGAAATTTTACAGGAATGTGCATTATAAAATGATGGAAGATTTTCAAGTGGTTCACATGGATACGTTGTAGGACACATGTAAATCACATATGATTCACATGTAAATCATAAGTGAATCACATGTGATTCACATGTAAATCATAAGTGAATTACACATGTGAATCACATGTGATTGACATGTAATTCACATATGAATTACATGTGACTCACATGTAAATCACATATGATTCACATGTAAATCATAAGTGAATCACATATAAAATACATGTGATTCACATGTAATTCACATACGAATCACATGTAATTCAAATATGAATCACATGTGATTCATTGTTTTTAAAAAAATTGTAGTTTTTTTAAAAAAGAAAGTTTTTAATTTTTTTAAAACTTCATGTTTTCTAAAAAAAATTAAAAAAATCTGCATATTTTTAGAAATTCGAAAACTATTATTAAAAAAAAATCCAAAAATTTGATTTATTATGTAAAGTTTTAAACATTTTTATTAATATTTTCAATAACACAAAAAATCAAACATTAAATAACATTAGTAAGATGACGATCATACTCTTAATGAGTTAATTTTGATGTAACACTCCACCTTTAGTTCTCGGATTCTTGAAAAACTATGAGTTCTCAACGGATTTCACTATATATATATATATATATATATATATATATATATATATATATATATATATATATATATATATATATATGTTCAGGTTCATTTGAGACCATTCTAATTTTGTGAGACCGTGAGACCAAATCTAAAAATAATTTTAAAATGCAAAATAAATGGAAAAATCCAAAAATTCTTTTTTTAAATATTATTTTCGGAACTTGAATTAACTAAAAAAATATAAAAAAAAAATTAAAAAAAATAAAAAAAATCCGTTTTTTTAAAAAAATACGTGAAATATTCTAAATAGAATATTACACTGACATATTCTAAAAAATAATTTTAAAATGCAAAATAAATGGAAAAATCTAAAAATTCTTTTTTTAAATATTATTTTCGGAACTTGAATTAACTAAAAAAAATAAAATAAAATTCTGTTTTTTTTGAAAAATACGTGAAATAATCTAAATAGAATATTACACTGTACATATTCTAAAAATAATTTTAAAATGCAAAATAAATGGAAAAATCAAAAAATTGTTTTTTTAAATATTATTTTCGGAACATGAATTAACTAAAAAAAAATAAAAAAAAATAAAAAAATGCGTCTCACGGTCTCACAAAATATAGGTGGTCCTAAATGAACATAACCCTATATATATATATATATATATATATATATATATATATATATATATATATATATATATATATATATATATATATATATATATATATATATATATATATATATATATATATATATATATATATATATATATATATATAGCAAACTACTCGTAAATGTAAACCCAATATCTATTATCTTAGTAAAAGGAAATTGTAGAAAGAAAAGACAATCTAAAGAAGAAGTTAGAGAAAAAAAAAAGGAAGAAGCATAGCAGTAGCAAATAAACTACAATGAATATCGCTAGAAGATTGTCTATCCTAATAAATTATTACGTTCCATTAAGCTTATCTTATTACTTTAAATCCAAAGTTTGAAGCTTTGTATGCATTATATTTTGATTTTATTGGGGTAGAATGGGACTGAGATATTTTACAGGTCTGGGTCTAGAATAAAGCAAAGTTTGGTGAGATTTTTCCATTCATGATTGGATTTTTGGACCGAGTTATATACATCTTAATCGGGAATACCAATATGAACCGATTTTTCCATAATTTTATCGGATTTCTTGCTTTTACACCATGTACCATCGTGAATGTAATTACAATTGTTGAATTTTTGATTGAAGACTGTTAATTTGGATTGAAAAACCATGCTGTCAAGAAATTGTTGGAGTAATCTAAAACAAGTAGCAAATTTGACAAAAATGCAACAAAAAAAATGACAAGAGTAAGTTAATGGTGACAGGAGATGTTTTCGATATAGATAATCTCATAAAATGGCCATTGTGTTTTCTAAAAGACAATTTTACCCTCATATATCTTACACAAGCAGAATAAAAATAACGAAACTAACCAAAATAACTATTTGTGGAAAGTTTTTCAACCAAAGAGACCCTTGTTGAGGACACAAAAATATTATGGTGTAAGACTTAGATTCTTGCTTTCACACCATGTACCATTGTGAGTGTAACTACAAGTGTTGAATTTTTGATTGAAGACTGGGGGGTAATTAATTTGGATTGAAAAACCATGTTGTCGAGAAATTGTTGGATTAATCTAAACAAGTAGCAAATTTGACAAAAATGCAACAAAAAAATGACAAGAGTAAGTTAAAGGTGACCGGAGATATTTTCAATATAGATGATCCGATAAAATGGTCATTGAGTTTTCTAAAATCAAATTTTACCCTCACATATCTTACACAAATAGAATAAAAATAA